GGGCCAAAAATGTTTTTCCCCCCGGGAAAGATCCCCCCCCCCGGGGGTTTTGGGCCCTCCCCCCCCCCCTGTAAAGGGTTTTTTTTTTTTTTTTTTCGGGGTTTTTGCCCCGGGGGAAAAGGCCCCCCCCTTTTTTTTTTCCTCCCCCCCCCCCCCCGGGGAACCCTTTTTTTTTCCTTTTCCCCCCACCCGGGGGGGGGAATTTCCCCCCACCCCCCCCCCCCCCCCTTTTTGATGTTTTGGGGAAAAAGGGGTGGGCCCCCCTTTGGCAAAAGGGGGGGGGAAAAATGCCCCCCGGGGTTGGGGGGGCCCCGGGGGAAAAATTTTCCCCCCCCCCGGGGGTTAAAAAAAAAGGGGGGGCCCCCCCCCCCCCCCCCCCCCCCCCCCCCTTCGAAGTGAATGCCTGCGTCAACCTCCCCCGTGCAAAGCGAGCGCCACCCGTCGTCTCACCGACTCCGTCCCTTCCGCCATCCCCCCCATCGCCGCCCGCCGCCAACCCCACCGGCCACGCGTCCGCGTTGCACTTGACCAGGCTACCCCCCGCCGTGGCGACGACTACAGAGAGCTGCTCTCCGAAGGCGGTCATGGTCGCGTGGAACGCGACAGTCGTAGCCTGCCGCGGAGTACAGCAGTTGGCACAACGGGGATACATGTCGGTACAACCAGCTTACCTCGCGGTTTCCGGGGGAGCGACGGTGGGGTTCGTTACGGTGCGGAGAGTGAGAGACGCCAAGATCAGCGCGGCAGCCGTGGCCCGTGACGGGAAGATGCATCGCCAGAAACGGAGGCATGGCCTCCGGAAACGCTGCAGCCATCGCTTGTTGGGAGCAGGGAGTCATTGGTGTGAGCAAGAAAGCATCAATACATGAAGACTCTCAGCCCGAAGATGAGCCTTTTTGGGTACCCCCGTGGGGATTCCTCCGCTAATGAATGGATCAGCAGTAGAATTGTGAGAGCTTTCCTTGGGAAAAGAGAGAAAAACATTGGTAGGAAAAAACGACGGGCGCGCCTCGGTCCGGTAAATCATTAGACCAAAACACTTATAGTAAAACAACAAAGTACTCCGACAGCTGCTTCCATTTCCACACCGAATACGACCGCTACAAGGTTGTGTGGCAAGAACACTCACGCGCATGTCCCTCTTCATCGAGTAGGACCATGACCCGCCATCTCCTTTTCCCGCAGCGGTAGCACGTGCTGTCTCTGACGACCCGCCCACCGACGGCAGAGTGCTAGCGCTCGCAGTTCCCGCATCCTCTTCGCGCCCCCTCCCTCTCAGAAGAACCCTCTTCTTGTCGTTGTTTCTATCGCTCTTTCTCTTGGTGTCGGCAGCGGCACCGGTGTTGCCGGTGTTGTCGAGCCAAGAGGCGGTGGCGGCATCCAGCAAAGGCCGTTCCAGGTCACCATGCCGGATGGCCCACCTTGCAAATGAATTCGGCGTCGTTTCAGTGTGGGCAATCGAGAACCGGCGAGGGCAGGGAGAGAACGTCTGGGGGCAGTGTGGACTTGAGGCTGTTGGCGAGTAGGTAAAAGACGGGTCCCGCCAGGCGGAACGCGTTTGGTATCCAACCTTCCCCGCAAATCTGGCGTAAGCTGTTTCTGAATGGTAGATGATTGAGTGGCCATTTTCCGGTGTGCGTGTCAAGAGATATATTCTGCTTGGCGATCCTGCCTGGTGGAACAGCGGGCTCGCGGTAAGCTCGTGGCAATATCCCCTTCTGGATACCACGACATGGCCGCAACACCCCGTGCGTCGTCACTACTGTCGCCTTTTGCACCGCCGGGCACAACTGGCCACCCTATCTTTTTCTGTTTCTGCTAGAGGATACCTGGCTACGAGCGGCAGCGGCTGGAACTTGCTGAAGGCCCCGCCGCCCCCCCTCAGCTCGGGCAGAAACTCTCGCGCGGCTGCTTTCGTGCCGTGTCCTTGATGCCCTTGCGCCGCCGCCGCCGCCGTCGCAGTCGCCGCATCCCTCCCGCCGCCGATATCCCACAACTTTACCGGCGTGAAGACATGCACAGCCCCGTCCATATACGTCACGGGGGAGGATAACATGATGTCATTTCACGCGGCGGCCAAGCGTTACGGCTATATTTTCGAACCAAGATTGAGTTGCACGTAGGAACTCGTACGAGGGACCCGATCTGTCGCAAGCGTCAAATGCACGCCTACGTGGACGCACCTTGACGACCCTCTGGGCATCAAGGGAGACTAACTGCGACCGACCGTCTGCTCCGAAGCGGACCTTTTCCTGCCCCAACGGAAGTGACGGCCCCGGCGGCGCGGGAGAGCGGGGGATTGAAAATGGTTGATGATTTATCGTGATGTGGTATTTGAGGGAGGTGATACTCAGCGCCATTGGCTAAGATTATCTCCTTGGTCTCGAGTCTCGAGGATGCTTACATGCAAATATTAGACGTGGCTTGCATATCCTGCGGCCCGCGGCCCTACAGTTGCTACCCCACCGCGCCTTAGGTGTGGACTGTGGACCCTCTATAGCGAGACGCAACCCCTTCCACAACCTATAGCCTTCACGTAGTATACCACCACCGCCAAAATAAGCAAATCATCAAGGGCGTTCTTCTCGCTTACGGGGCAGGAGCGGCGCCTCGTCTGCCCTTTGAGAATTGGTTGTACGCGTTTGCTGCAGACAGAAACAGAGCCTCGGGCCGGCGGTCATCTCACCACTGGGCACCTCTCGTCCTTGGACATGCTTGCAGCACTCGCCACTCGAATGAGAACGGCCGCACTATTGTTCTTGTTGTTTTTGCTGTTCTTGCTGCTTCGTTTGTCGACGCCGCCCGCGTTGGTCTCCTCTTCCAATGTCGGCACCGCCCACACCGCTATCCCACCCTATGAGAAGAGTGAAAAATGTGGCAAACGTCAGTGAATCAAGTCCCCATAATGGAAAGAGATAGAGATTATCGGCACCGCCGCAACTGTTTTACTACATCTGCGACCATTGCCGGCGCTCCGTGAACTGCCCGTGTACGTCAGCCGCAGGCTCGAGACCCATCTATGGAGAGGCACTACATCTTCCTCTTGCGGTTGGCGGTCGAAAATGATCAAGATTCACTATGTTGGACCCGTGAGGTGTGGTAGCCCGCATATGACGATTCAAAGAGTTCAACGGGGTCGAAACTTCTAATACGACTTCACAGCTCAACCCCCTCAAAAATACCCCCTTCTTTCTGTTCCTTTTACATGGCGAAAATATCTGCCCTTCCGTTCTGCGTGAAGCTCGCGTTCGCTCGCGCTCTTTGTGGCGGCGACAGGGTCGATAGCGACTATATATTTGTAAACGAGTCCTTGTCTTGCGAGGTTGTTGAGATCGTTAGCGAGCTCCCCAGCTGGTTTCATGATATAGGTGGCTGGTATATGGCAAGGTCTGCTATGCACTTCAAGTGTTTTTCTTCTCATGAGAGAACGTATAGTATTTCATGACAAAAGCGTTTGGTGAGCAGAATCGTCGGGCGGTAGTAGTTCGGCAAGTCGTGTTAAGAATCTTTAGGAGTGATCTATTGTGACATCACCATATTCTTAGCGAGAGGGGTAGTGCTCAAAGAGTGCTTCCGGGAGTATGCCTTTCCTCCGCACCTTACTCGTCCCAGCCGCCAGCAAAAATGTGCCCCCGGAGGCCGGGTTAGTCGCAACACCAGAAGGAGCAAAAGGCGTAGCAGCAGAGGAAACGCCATTGGTGGCGCATTTAGTGGGCGGGCCCATGGCAATCGCCGTCACAAAACCGTCGCCTCTGCCGCGTAGATCGAGCGGTCGAGACAGAAAATACGCACAACAGTGCAAGGTTAAGCATGGGCGGGAACGCGGGATGTGATGGGGTAGTGAATGGGAGAGACATTGCTTCAACACGAACTTCTTCACACGCATGTATGGGGGAACACAGGATGGACAGGCAAGATCGCAACACTCCACTCGGAGCGCCACGACGCAACACTATATGCAACCCGACGACCGAATGAAGAATATCTACATACCGGGGTGCACCTTGCAAACTAGGGGGAGTCAAGGGGGTATTTCTGTAGGTGTGGCAGCATTCCCTGGAGAGGACGATTGAGATCCCACCTCGACACGCAGCTACTTGAAAATTCCGTTGGGCTTGTTGACGTGTCTCCGGCGAATCGACTGATCTAAACCCGATCGGCTATCCCTCCCAATGAGCTGGAGAGCTTTCAGCTCATAGAGAATCTGTTTCTTCGCATCATGTGACAAGGAACGTTTATATCAACCACCGCACTACTTGATGTTTGGTCAGTGTTCCCACTAGCCTGCACGACCAAAGCGCAACCTTGTTATGCTACACACAATTGACACGGCCAAACCAGCAAGTCGGGATGGCTGTTCGAGAGACGTTCGCAACAATCTTCCAAGCGTCACTGAAAAACAAATAACCTCCTCTCTTGTCTCTGTACCCTGCAAGGGTCGCATCAGGGCAGCTACACATCTCACTTCGGAACCGCGATAGAAAATTTCTCGGCCGACGTGTGCCTCAGGTAAAACTGCTCTCCTGCAGGATAGTCCGCGTGTCTCGGCGGCCTGCGCAACAATGATGGTAGCAGCAGCAGCAGCAGCAACAACAACACCAAAACCAACAACGACAGCAGCAGCAGAATATATTTCCAACAAATTTCATGATCAAGGAAGGACTACTTTGATGTACTGGCAAGAACAAAGTGTGCGTCAAGAACAACCCGAGAGGCGAGTACAACGGAATACTGGATCTCGATTTTCTCGAAACGCTAGGGTGCTCCATAGCTTCAACTGAATCAAACAATACCCTTCACGCATCTCCTATATTAGCTAGCAAAATCGCCGAAGGCCATCACTTAACAACCTCACGTCCGCGCACACGAGCATTTGCTGTTCTGGGACTGCCGTTGGTCAACCGGTTAGCGCGGTCATCAATGCCAATAATAAAGACACGCACACGCACAGACCTGAATACTTGAATATCCTTCAACCGCAGAACAACAGAATCGCCAACCCTGGCCCCCGTGGGGCCGGCCGAGATCGGACCTCCCCCTCCGCGCTCCTCGGCGGACGGACCCCCAACCGCCACGACACCTGCCTGTTTCCATGCTGCTTTTTTGTTCTTGCACATCGACACGAGCTCGCGGAAAGCAGAACAAAGGAGGTCTTGCACCGGCCCTTCGCGCTGCTCACGGCTGGCTGCCATCCCCGAAAACCCAGCGGCAGAGCAGAGCGGCGGTTTCCGGTTGTGTGGGTGCATCGTGGTGCCAAATTGCGGATGGGTTTCGTTTGGGCTCGGCTAGCCGAATGTCTTGATTCGACTGGTTGACTGTCGTCTGGTTGTGCCATCATCGACCACAACGGCGACAACTGTTCCGATGGCAACAACAACCAGCAACCGCTGTTCAAACACCACCACCACCACCACCAACAACAACAACAACAACAACAACAACAACAACACTCAATCAACAACCTTGAACAACCGAAGTTGAAGAATCCCCCCCTTCCCAGCGGGACCTTGCTGCTGCCGCCGCCGCGGATGATGATGCTGCCACAGCGGCACCGACCATACCCAGGGCTACTTCCGACGCGCTTGTGAGAGAAGCATGTACAGCTTCGATCTCCTCATTAACGTGCTCCCCCTGATGGAAATGTGTCGTTGTTGTTCGTACATCAAGACCAGAGCAGCAAGCTGAGGCACGCGTGTTTTTGTGTCGTTTGCCGGGAGACGCCGACTACTCATATCGTGGGAAAAAAGAGCAAACCTGGTGACACATGAGACCGGTGGAGCTACAACGAGCATGATGGAGTTCCTTCGCGTTTGGTGGCTGCTTGCAACGCTTGGACGTGCTCCTCGTCGTTTAGCCGAAAAACAACACATCGGGGCATGGACTGATGCGCATTTTCTTAGTGTTTCGAAAGAGACGTAATATTTCCGCAAACGGTTTCCGCAAAAAAAACATTATTTCGCAATTTGTAGTGGTATCGTTTTTGCATGCAAACGGAAGAGAGTTACCGAGGAGAGGCTTGCCCTCCTGTACGTTCTGAAAGGACAGAGAGAAATGATGAAAATACCACCCCGTGGCACAGCACTACACTCAAAAAGGGGTTTGAAGCGTACCGATTGCCGTTTGCAAGGAGGAAGTAAAAGCTTGTTCTAGCGGGAAACGTATACCCCAACCTTAGCTAACAATAATTGAAGAACGTGTTCGCCACGCACCTAACGTCTCAAATCGAGGGGAACTTGTTGAAACAAACAGTAATGATCTGCGAACACCTGTTTGTCCTGATTGAAATTCCACCAGTCCGGTATGCCAGGGTGTAAAGGAAACAGGTGATGACGGGGAGGGTGGGGGGTTGGCAGCTCAAACTGCCAAAGCATGTGCAATGAGCTCGTGAGTTGTATCTCTGAACGTAGCGTACCAGAATCGTCGAAGCTGCCGACAGGACTTCGGTCTCCGTCCTAGCTAGGCGGGCCTCTTCTTCCATGGCTCTGTTGACCACCTCCAGGTTGCGCCGGTCAGCCTCGAGGCCTAGCCTGCAAATCAGGCGGAGGCAACAACTTTTGATTTATCACAAACAAGGACAAAGACACAATCTAGCATGCCCTCCTTGCCGTGATGGGAGGGAGTCGCCAAGAATTCAGTTCCCGTTCGGTGGAGTGCCCACCAATGCACAAAGAAGCCTTCAGAACATTGTTGACGCAGCAGTCTTCCATTCTGCCTCGCGCTGACGAGTCTTCTTTGGGTCTGGCAAAAATAGTGTCCTACGTTATGAGCTATCTTTGGGGGCAGGGGGGGGTAGGTCGTGTGCACGACACTTTACTCGCAATCAGTCCACAACGGGAAGTCTTCATAAGGGGGGGAAGTATTGAACACAGACTTTATGTGGCAAACCCAAGGTGCCCACCACAGCGATGTTGGCCTGCTAGCAGGGAAGGAGAGACCGAGCACCCCAAGAGACGGAAACACCTTTTGTCAAGCCGCTCATGTCCCTCCCAGCCCTAGACCCGGCTGTGTTCCCGCTCAGTCCCCTATTCTCTCTTTTTCTACTCACTCCCCCCTCCCCGCCCCCTTTGACACCTCCGTACCCGTGAACGTCGGTCCCACGGTTGGTCACCTCTCGTTGTCGACGCCAAGCCGCGAGACTGCCTCCCAAGCGTGCCCCTTGCCCAGAGAGCCTGTCGCTAACCACTGTTCCTCTTCGGCCAAGGCCTTTGCCTGCGTTCACCGGAAAGCCGTGATCGTGCCGCATCATGTCAAAAGCGTATATCCGTCACCGCGATGTCGCAGCAGCGGCTCGTGTTGTCTTCTCCGACTGGTAACCATGTGCACGGCGCACAACGCCTTGTGCCAGCCCGGTATCACTCGCCTCCTCCGGCATCAGTGCGTTTCGCGTGGTGCGCGATTGTTCGTTCGAGACCACCATCTCCACCATAACCCCAACTTTCGCCGTGCCGTCTACCGTATCCGAACAGGCACCGGTATTCGGTACGGACTTCCGCACCCCCCAAAAAAACACCGTGAAATACGTCGATAAACGGGGAAGGTTGCCATACGCCGATTCTACTACTCTTCGAGCATCGACATCGCGGAGAGCCTTGTACGCGTATGGGGCACCGTAGAACCCACGGCCGTGACCACAAAACGTTCATCAAGGCAACTCATTGCAGACGGATTCATATGAGACATCTATACCACCTTTTCGACTGGCTCGAGATAGCAACAGCTGTCTGCGCGACGGGTTTGAACGCTCGCAACGCGACGGGCTTGAGCGATCGATTCCACTGCCCACCTGCGATCGGAGCGCCTCTATCCGCGACACCGCCTCTCCCTCCCGGGCACGCAGGTCAGCCACGAGTCCTTCCATGTCTAGTGCCACGCTTTGGTCCTCCTCCTCCTCCTCCTCCCCCTCCCCCTCCCTCTCCCCCCCACTATCTTCCTCGCTATCATCCTGCTCATCACCTTGCTCTTCACTCCCCGTGCCGCTGCCTTCATCCTCTCCCGCCCGCCCCCTCCGGGCGCCGTGCTCTTTTCCCCTCTCCGTGGATGACGAAGTCAACCCCCTTCGTTGTCGTACCGACAGCCGTCCGTGGGCATCGCCATCGTGGTGTCTCCGACGGCTCCCGGGAAATCCTTTCCCCGACGCCCTGCTCTTGCCGGCGGAAGCGGCAGAAACACCGGCCTTCCCGCTCGTCGAAAGCGGTGCTGCCGCTTGCGCCCTCTTCCTCTCGACACGGGCGCCTCCGCCACCGCCGCTCCTTGCCATGGACGGGTGATCCGCGCCCCGTCCTCCCGCCGACGCGGCCCGCAGAAATGCGCTGATCGCGGCCGAGCGGCCGGCGTCTTCTCTAGCCTCTCGCTGTTCGTCGTTGGTGTCGTCGTCGCCGCCTCCCGCTGATGCCTCTCCTGGACTCTCAGCGGGAGAGCCGGAACTCCTTGGAGTTTTGCTGCCGTCATTCCTATCACCTCTCTTGTCCTGGTTGTTGTTGTCGTCGCCGTGACTGCGGCTTGGTTCGTCCGAACCGGAGCGTTTCCCTTTCGATGCTTTCGTTCTTGACGGTTTGGGTTTTGGCGTCTTTGTGGTTTTCGACGCCACTGCCGTCGACATCCACGTCGAAGTCACCTCCGGCGGGGCGGGAGTTGTTAGAATCTGGAAGGCCGCCGGACCTAGCTCCTCGCGCGCTAGGGCCTTGAGTCCACCCGCTTGCTTGGCGCATACCTTCTTGAAAATAGCGATGGGCTTGCAGAGCGTAAGAAACTGTCGCAAGAACTGTACGAGGATATTGGTCACAAACCCCACACTCGAAATCCCTATTGGACGGAGGCTGTGACTGAGGGGATTACGCAAGAGCTATGAGCAAATATTGTAGCTCCCGGTTTCGGAAGGGAGTGCTTTCGTGATCTCCTGCATCTTGTTTTCGGATGGTGCAGCCTTGTCGATGCCGGTTTGTGCAGAGACATCAAACTGCAGCCCGTCAGATGATGACGTCCAGGCAAAGAAGACGCGCAAATACTGACACAGAACTACACAAATCTCAACAATATACCAACGAAAACACTCGAGCAACCCCGTGCGCACTCAAGCCTTCACCGGATGGATGCAAGCCCCCGAATCAATCAGCAACATGACACACATGGCCTGTTAAATTTCGATAGGGGAGGCACTCTAACTCGCCTGCTGCCTCTTGAGGTCTACGCTATCTGTCGCCCCGGCGAGACGAAATCTCTGCTCGTTCAGCTTACGACGGAGCGCCTCGTGCACCCGAACACTCTCGTGGGCCTCCCTGTCACGACAATCGAAAACGAAGGGAAACCCGGGGCCGAAAAATTGACAACTACAAAAAGCGGATCGTGATTGTTGAGACCCTTGCACGCAAATCAAAATTTCTCGCGGCTCGGATCAGTTGCTTGCATGAAAATTTTCCGCACAGCGTCACCGCAATATAGTATCTAGTGCATGAAGCAGATGTGAGAAACGGTGAGAACGTTGGCGTTCCAAGCGACTGGTGGGAGCATATTCGTCTGCCGGCGTCCCTACACCGGCGCTATCATTGCCAGGGAGGGGGGGCGTTTCCTCTTGCACGAATAGACAAGTAGATGCCCTTCGCAGCATGGGTGTGGTGGGGTCGAAGGGGATACCTCTGTCGCCGCCACCCAAATACGCTACTACACATCCACCAGAACCCTCGTACCGGCATCGACGAGCTCAAAACGGACGGGGTGAAACGCAACGTACGTTCTTATGCTCTTGATTCGACCCCTCACAACTCGTGAGCAACGTTCGGTGATAACACGAAATGCCATGACCGGGGACTAACTGACTCAAATAACACACAAAAAAAAAAACAATGACGATCCAGATAAATTTCACCTTCTATCGAAAACAAAAATGTTCTTGAAAATGACCACATCGGATGACAACTGGCAAAGTAGAGCGGAAGAGGTTTGAAAGAAAAACAGAATCGATGTATCAGATCCGGAAACCAAGTAAAAACATCCGCGACAGCAGTATCATTACCAGAATTATTGGCACCCCTCTCCCTCATCCAAACAATGCAAGGGAAGTGTTGGTCGTCTGGTAATTTTCCGTCATCCTGACCAACCTCCCTTCCACCGTCATCGTCTGAGAAATAAACCAAGCAAATACAGCGGAAACACGCACACCTGATACTGTGGCATGCTCTGTTCTAGACCGCAGCATTTCCATGCACCGTTACTAAACGAGCGGGGGAGGCCTTCTTTGTCGGAGTTTTCTTTTACAGATCAGACAAACACCTCGGCACACCGGCTCGTTTGGGGGTGGCGGCGGGGGGGGTCGGGCAAGAATCTTGGCCTTTCGACGATACCGACGACAACGAGTGTGCGACGTGCTTGGAGATCGCTCGGAGGCATTGCGCGGTGGGTCTGGATCGGGCGGGTGTGTCGACTACCTGCGGCGAACGATGTCGATCTCGGCGGCAATCTTGGCCAGGCTGGAGTCGCCGGCACCGCCATCGCGGCCGATGGAAGGCGCCTCTTCAGCGTGCTCGAAACTCTCATCGGCCTCGAGGGCGCTGGCGACCGGATCTGTAGACAGACGCGTGAGACGAGGGCAACAGTACAGCGTTCATTCGTAGGACAAGAGACGGTGTGGGGCTTGTGGGGGCGCACGGTGTGGTGAAATTCTCGCTAGCTTCAATGCGCCCACCACAACTGCAGCGGTTTGGTGGTTGCTGCCGGCTCGAGTACGTTGGGTTGGGGTTTCAACCAATCACGGACGCGCATGGCAGCATGGGTAAGCCGCACACGGGAGATGCGTGGAGACACTTCGACCACCTGAACGACCCTCGCCGGCGTGGTCCTGCAAGTGCTTGGCGCGATCGAGAGAGTCTTGGAGCTGGCGCTCGTTCACTCTTCGCCGCCGGACCTTCTCGTCCTCGATAGCATCTAAGCGTCTCAGTCGTAGCCTCTATCGGATCCCAACGTTGCGCGCGAGGGGCCAATAGCACGCCAGCGGCAAGGGGGGCGGCCAAGAGAGCAACACGGCAGCGTCAACGACAGCACGGATCAAATGGCACCGTTAGAGAAAAGCCATGTTCGTAGCTTGTTAGTGACGGCGGCGTTGGATGTCGGTAAGGCTGAAAAACAAACCGAGTGTTTTGGGCGTGTCGCGCCGGATCGTAGGCGAGAAGCAGAAACTTTCCGTCGAGCTTTGAAGGTGGACCGAAACGTCTGCGGTGCGTCGGCCATGCTCGCTGCTTGACGGATTCGGCATCGACAGAATATCGCCTCGTACGAGCATATTGCTGTCCAAGTTGGTAGAGAACACATCGCAACGCACGCCCTGCACACTCAGTTCGGTGGTCTCTTGTTGCCTTGACTTTTTTCTTTTTTTCCAGACATGGGTTCTACAGACAGAGAGGTGGCGACACTGTTGTGTGGAACACCTGCTCGTCCTCGAGCTTATGACGCTGCTCCATGACTGGCTGCATCTCCATCATCTGTCTTGCCATCTTCTCCAGCTGTTCGGCACGAACGAAACAACGGCACATGAGCGGACGACCAAAAAAAGGGCTGGTGTTGAAATCCTCGATGGCCGTATCCGTCCAGCGCTCTCTACGTTTGCATAGCACTGGCCAAGAACGAGCGCAAGGAACAACGCGCCAAGGTTGTTGGTACCTGCGTCTTTTCCCCGGTGGAAATCTAAAGCACGGGAAACCGAGAGTACGTTCGTGGTACGGTGGTGGTCGCTCTGTGCACCCACTCCACTACCAGCCCCCATCAAACGAAGATTGGGGTGACGTTTGATCGATGGAAACCACACCAAATCCTCTGCTGAAATACCGCCTACACCACCACGCCTGTCCCTCCTTCGTCTCCCTAAAAGTCGCGGGTTGCTGGGATCCGAATACTCAATGTGTAGTCGATGATGCTGTCGGGTCGACGCCAAACAGACTTGACGCGGAACAGACACAACCCGTCCCGCTCATTTGTTCCTACATAGCACTTCGTCGAAGAACAATGTGGCTTCATCTCTCGCTGGCAACGCCACGAATTGCCTACTCTCCTAAACGGTAGCTCCTTCCATACTCGAAACTAGTTCTCCTTTGAGCATACTACACTCCGCACGATGTGCATCAGTCTGCAGCACTTCAACGGTGTAGTACAAGTATTGGTTTTGCAAATTTGGCCGGGCGGAGGTATCGCGAGTTTGTCGATCTGTGTGTGTGGCATCGAGCAACCAAGTCACTAGTATTACCCACCCAAACATGCACCCACACCAACAGAATCATTCTCCAAGACATTGGTCATCAGATGTTAAAAGGGGTGTCGTGACGATTGATGACGGCCCCACGTCCATGGAACTGTCAGGACTCTCTTGATTCGACCCGTTTCCCGGCAAAGAAACGAATCTGTACCTGTAGGCCGCGCTCTATTTCCCAAGTTTCCCTCGCGTACTCGAGTCGCTTGAGTTTGAACGCTTCCTCGCTGCCTCGCAGCTCCGCCATGCGACGCAGAGCTGCATGCCTCGCCTTGCGGTGCTCCAGGGCGGACTGCAACGAGCACGTTCCGAAGCCAGCCAATCGTCGACTGCAAAGACCGCGAGGGCTTCATGTATGCGGTATCGAGGACTAAGTGTGTACGGGGACAGAAGACGGGCAACTTCAGAAAGTTACACCGCACAGGTGTGGCCTCTTCACGAAAAGAACACCGCCCGGGCGATTCGCCAGAATCTTTAATCCGAAGATCATCAAACCAACAACGTAATTCTTACAGATTCTACTACGTAGACACATGGGCAAACCTCGCGAATTGCCGGCGAACCCTCACGCTGAGGTTTAGCGCCAATTTCAAGAACCCCACGCGCGCGGGGCCGAGTGTCATGCACGCCACAAGCTGCAAAACCCGGAGAGGGATCAGGTACACCGCACTCAAGTCTCACGTGCAACTTTCTGAATTGTCTGCGATATCTACATACATTGCTTGGTGTCATCCGGAAGGGCGAAGGAGGCAGAGGACAAAATGGATGTGTTACACTGATCGACACGGGCCTATTGTAGTACTGTACCCAAGCATTACGCAACCGACCTCTTCCTGCTTGAGTCGTCTAGAAGTGGCGTCCTGGAAGTAACATCCTCGAAAAATGCAGCGGGAATGCAGCATTTACATGTTCGAGCGCATATACACGTGTTTTGTACACTATGTGCACGGACTAGATACACAAGAGGCACCGCTGCCATGAACGGGGTTCTAGTGCCTACATTCGTGCTGATCTGAGGACAGCTCTTCTTCGGGCGAAATCAGAAAATGCATTAGTGGCTATTCCGTAAAGAGACGTGACGCCTGATCAGGTGCAAGCGTGCACGTGTGCGGGTTGACACCCACCGAGATCACCCACTCGCACCTGATCCAATTCTTTCATGCGCTCCTGAAGGGCTGCGTGCTTCTCGCGATAGTATCCATCCTTTTTCTCGCGCAATTCCGCCTTTCGTCGCACGAGGGACGCTTGCTGCTCGACCAGCTCCTGGGCCCAGAGAGAGAGAGAGAGAGAGAGGGAGAGAGAGAGGGAGAGAGAGAGAGAGAGAGAGAGAGAGAGAGAGAGAGAGAGAGAGAGAGAGAGAGAGAGAGTAAGGCCCAGTATCAGGAAGAGAGACTGTTGAAGTGTCTATAACTGTGTCGACCATAACGGCAGGACAACCCATCTCTATCCGAGGAAGTAAACGAGTCCAAACCCACATCATGTGTTTCGTTATTATTGTCATCGTTGTTCGCCGTGTCTGTAGGCCCAGCGGCTAGTCCTGTACGGTGTTTGACTATGGACGACTTTCGTTGCCACAAGCATCCCTGGGGTGCTACGAGCAAGGAAGGTGTTCATCTCGTGAACGACGAAAACAAGAGAGTACAGTCAGGTGCGGGCCGTAATCGTTGAAAAATGGTCTTCCAACTGCCCGAACGATCGCCGGTTGGCGATACGAAACAGGGTGGACCAACGTCAGCGACAAGAAAGCACACCGCTGAAGAAGCTGGGCCGAACGAAATCCAAAATAGAGATACCACGGGGGGTGTATCGAAAAAAAGCACCTCAGAGAGCCCCCCGTCCCCCTCCTACACCTACCCCACCCCCAGTGCCTATCCCCCCCCCTTGAATGTTGGCTGATGGGTTTGCAAAAAGTCCGTGCATACAGCGCACTGCACGCCGACAGAAGCACATGTCGCATCAAATGTCGGTGGAGTATCTCGGATGATGACATTACCGTTGGGGCGTCCGTGGCGCTAGAGATAGCCAAGAGCAGGAGTTCGAGAGGAAGAAGGGCGGCATCCCCCAATGTTTTGCGCCAATCAGCGGGAGATTGTTTGGTCTGGCGCTACGTAACTGACTCCGCTTGTTGCGGTGTTGACGCTTTGGGCGGCGGGCGTTGCCCTCACTAACGGGGGGTATAGTCTATATCGTGTCGGAACGACAGCGATGCAGGCACCGCTGTACTATTTCATCTAGTGTTTGCATGGAACAGCCAGCCGACATTGGAGAGAAGATGGAGAAGAAGTAGTCGTCAGAGGAGGAGACTCAAAGAGGCAGTCTGTATCGACACTGAGGCGTGACAGAAGCAGAGAAAAATAGGGGAAAATGCAGACCAAGATTCAGCACAACACCCCGCAGCATAGAAAATGGAGAATCTCGAACCAACGAAGGGGGTTGCAAAAACAGCTTTTGACGTAGCTCGACGCCACCTCCTCCCTGGATACGTGCAGAACACCAAGACTTTGACTGTTTGGATCTGCCGCACAGGCACCACCTTCTCTCTTTCCGAGTTATGTCGTCGTCGAGCTCTTCCGTAACTGACGTGGGAGAGGCACAAATGTTCAACAAGATGCGCCGTACCGCTTTTAGTAACGCTTGTTTCACGGCAACCCTCGATTTGCCTCGCTCCTTATTTTGATTAGCGGGGAAACCCACAGGCAATATTTGGGCTGTTGTCCGGGTTACGGTTAACGATTTCTTGTCGTGAAAGTCGAACCCTCAATATACCTGATTCAACTTCTCTGAAGTGGCGTGTTCTATACCGGGTCATGCAAGTTACCGCTCATGCAGGGTCTACATATACAAATAGCGTGAATAAGGCGGTCACCGCCTCGTACCGGGTCCAAACTGGTGCGCGTCAATTTCCGCCGCCGCTGGTGGCCTTTGCATGTATGTATGGATCCCGGCAACCGTCTTTCTTCACACCGACGCAGTGTAGACTATGTAAATCGGTACCCCCAAACGCTGCAGCTATAGTCTAAGTCTAAAGCTGTAGATATGCAGGTACATGCAGTAGTCTAGACCCCCACACACATGGACAACATGTTGGTCGCAGCGCATCGACTATATTATATTGACTGCTGTAGACAACAACAGATGTGTGAAAAATACTCTTCAGCAGTCCTGCTACCGAGTTGTACATACATACGTGAAAACAGCAGACCACCACAGAGCTTTCGGCCTTTATCTGCAGTCAACGTCTCATCAAGACGATCCCAACCGAGGAGATGTGTATGTATGTGGGGATCTGTCGTGCTTTGACTGCGGTGGGTACGGAAACACGAATGCACATTACTACATGTACATGTGTCCTAGTGACGGTTAGATACCTTATGTCGCAACAACTCGCAGGCTACACAGCGAGTACGGCTGAAAACGGCGTCACGTCAGCTCTCTCGTATCTTTCAATCTCTGGTGGGTCGCCATACCACACCCGCCCCAAACAAGATGAAGCTCAAGTGCTGTAACCATGCTCATCACCGTGCTGTAGGTCTACATAGGTAGACTTGAGTACTTCTCGAAGACGCCGAGCAATTGGATTGGCGTATCCTTGCCGGAGCCGATCCCGGGCCTAAACGTGATGCATGCTCCGCTATACTCCGTTGGAACATCGCCGATTCCGCCGTATATCCGTATCTTATTTTGTACCCAGGTTATACTGCTGTAAGTAGTAGTGCCGCCGCGGTTTACACCTGTACAGGTCTAATTAGCCCGGATCCATGTGTCACAACAAGCTCTGAGCACCTTTATGTGTCACATGAGGTGTGTTTCATTGTATAGCATGCGTGAACGCTTTCTGCGGGGCGGTGTAAAAGCGAGGTTGTATGCTATGCATACGTTACTGCGAGGTTGACGAGCAACCCCGGTGGTGTCTCTTGTTGGAACTTTTAACTTTTACACCTGCCGACACCTGGTGAAGGATGGCAGGATGCCCCGTATCAACAATCAACTCGCTTTTTCGTATGCGCGTATCAACCAAAGATCTTCCTGCCGTCTCTTGGAAATTACTCTGTCGCGCCTGCGTATGTGTCCAGGCACGATGAGCCCTTGGGCAAAGCCGGCAACGGACGGTGGCTCGCAGCAAACAATGCTTTCCACCCAAGTCCACAGGGCGCGGTGTGCAACAGCTATGACTATTGATATATTCTTGCCTTCCCCTTTTTCTAGTGGAGAGAGCCCAGAAAGATTACTCGTGTGTGTTTGTTATAGGCGCTGCTGTGCGTGTGTTCTTCTTGTGTATGTTTGGGAACTTGATTTTGCACCAGCACAATCGAACACACACGCTGTGTTTGCCGCCACTATCGGCCCCTCTTACCTCGAGAGCCCCGACAACATCGTCGACCATAGCGCATTCCTTTCGTTCCTCCTCGCCCACCCCGCAGGCGCAGGAGAGCAAGGTCTTACCCAGCAAAATCCCAACCCAAGAGCTCGTACGTAAACTAACACGCGGGCAAAAACCACGGCGGCGGCGGTGATCCGCCAGACAGACGGAAAAAGGTGAAGGTACAAAAAGATCGTTGGACACACGACGTTCTGTCATCGTGTCGTATATACATACAATATGCGTATGATGTTGTCGTCTTCGCGTTCCGGTCTCTGCCCAGCGTCTTCTCAACGGGTCAGACTGGCGAGACGGACACCGTCCGTGGTAACTCCCTCAAGCTACAGATAGACGTGGCCAGCAACAACAACCTCCCGTCTGCTCTGCTGCACGCGATAGATTGAGATGTGATAAGCGATCTCGGCGCTTTAGCTATTTTTCCGTCCAGAATATATTATTAATCTGGTTTTCGGCTTATTATGTCGAAGTTGCTCCGCTGCACATAAAGTCTCGATCGCACACACACACTACTGTCTCTCCCTCTCTCTCTCTCCTCATCGCACTTTACTTCCGAGCAACCAATCAAAGTATTCTAATTGAACCATCTCCCAAAACGTGCGCAGGGCAAACACACCCATCTCTCTGCGAGGGACGCACAGCAGGCAACAGGTTGACTCAAGAACGGCAGCCCAGGGATGTTGCTCGCCGCCCCGTTCATGGAACACCAGCAGCAGCTACATGCGCATCACCAGCCGACACGGAACTTCGGCAAGCCGGGGTGAGTGAGAGTGCGGTGGCGATCTCTTTTTGGGAGCATGTGTATAAAGGCAGATTAGCGTCAACTCTTTCGGCAGTTCAAATGCTGTTGGGTACGTTGCATATTGCGTGTGCGCGTGCGGGCTATCTCTCTCTTCGTGGTCTCATGGGGGCGGCGGCGGCAGCAGCAGCAGCTGTGTAAGCGCGGCGGCTCGGTTTTGGTGCGTAAACGTTCTAACAATTTCAGCGATTTGCCTCTTTCCTCGTTCTTGAGGATTCGTCCACATGAGCTGTTATGTAGCAGCTCTCCGTCCCTCCCTCCCTGCTTTTTCTTTTGTGTCGTTGCTTCTGTCATGAAGATTCAACATCATCGCCAGGGGGGGGGGGGCGTGTGTGTGTGTGTGTCATTTGATAAATACCCGAGTTCCAGAGGTCCGCCGCACACCGATGTGTCATGTCTCTTTTGGCCTTCTACGATCATCGTCTCCAGCCCACCCGCGTAGCTACAAGAACACGAACGAATCCAAAAAAAGAGAGAGAGGGCCTGACATCCTCGAGAGTGAGAACCCAGAAGTTGGTTGATGAGTTTCTGATGGGAAGCCAGCGTCACAGTGCTAGTTTGTAAACGAAAAAACGAGAACAACAACGATACGGAGGAGTTGCCAAAGAGAGAGGTTTGGGCTCAGCAAGGTCACGGCAGTCGTACGCATCGGCGTGTCTATTCACGCAAAACCGTAAGGTTGCCACCTCTCGCACCACGTGGTGCGTGTGCCATTTTGTAAAAATCGACTCTTTCGTTGTCCTCTCCCTCTCCCCCATCTCTTCGTTTTTCAAAAATTTTGGCTGGTGTACATTTGTATACACCACGTTACGCTGCACGCATGCGCACGCTACAACGTTGGAGTACATACGAATCGCGCAAGTAGCCCCGCATGTATCACTCGGATATCTCACGGCCCCGAAAAATATCCTCCTTGTCCCATCCGTCCGGCTTGTTGCGCGCATCTCAACAACTCTTTCGTCTCCGAAAACGAGCAGCCCTGTGGAGAGCGCTGTAGAGCATGAAGAACCGACTTCTGACTTCATGCTCGCCGCCGCCGGCCGTGGCGATGATGACAACGAAAACGGCTCGTCTACCCTACCGCCATCGCCGCCATCACCCCCGCAGCAGCACATGCTAGCCCCGCCAGACTTCCCGCCTTCCGCCGCGGCCGCCGCCGCCGCAACATCCCCCTCTCCCGCCTCCGCTGCCGGCCCGCCCACTCGCGTGGTCTTCCCTGCTGGGAGGTCCGCGGCGGATGGAAACGCGGCGTTTGAAGCTATCTCCAACAGCAGACCAAGCGGGGGCGGCGGCGCCTCCCTGTTCCACCCGGGGTTCGAGCGGCCCTCGTCGCACCACTACCACCACCACCGCCACCACCACCACCACCAGCACCTCCACTTCGCAGCCAGCAGGCAGTTCGGCGGCGGGGGCGGGAACGGCCCCTACAGTGGGGGCGCGCACGGCGGAGGCCACCACGGCGAGGACGACTTCGAGTTTCTGCGAACGATTCTCCTGGACGCCGGCAGCGGCACCGGCCACGCCGCCCACAACAGCGCCCTCCCGCCCCTCGGGGCCGCCGGGTACATCCCGGTCTCGGCCGCGGCGGCCGCGGCGCACGCCGCCGTCGCCGCTACGGACGCCCCCTTCGCCCCCATGAGCGCCGCGAAGTCGAGCCTGTTTAGCGCCGTTTCGTCCTCCCCTCTGGGGGCTCATCACCCCTCCCCGCCCTCGCCCTCCTACGTTGGCGGCGGCGGCGGCGGCGGCGACAGCGGTAGTCTTTCCTTTGGCGCGGCGGCATCAGGTGGCAGCGGTCGCTACGGCGGCGGTGGAGGCGGCAACCAGGCGGTCGAAGGGCCCGGGGGTTACCACAAGAACGGGGCGGGCGGCTACCATGTGACCGAGGAGGAGAGGCTTCAGGCGGCGGACGATGTCGCGCGGTGCATCTGGCTCGCGGGAGACGAGCTCCGCGAGATCCTCCTAGCGCGCCTCTTCGACCTGTGGAGCACGGTGGAGGCGGAGATGGTGTCCTACGCCGACGGTACCGCCGCCGCCAGCGGCGGCGGCGGTGCCCCGCGCAAGAGCTTCAACGAGGTCCTCGTGGAGCGGCTGCAGGCGACGTGCCAGGCGGTTGAGGCCGAGCTGAAGGCGGCCAAGGCTCGCGGCGACGACACCGCGTTCTGCAACCCGCCGCAGCACCACTGGCGCGGCTCGGGCGCCCTCCGGGGAGACGTGCTCTCGAGGCTGGAGGCCTACCGCAGGGAGAACGAGGGCAACTGCGGCATGCCCGGCAGCGGCCACGGGAGGTTTTCGAGCCTGAACTGCATCGATGACTTCGAGCGAGCAAACGCTCTTGCCCGCGGCGGCGGCGGCGGCGGGGGTCGCCACAGAGGAGGGCACGCGGGGGGGGGGCTGGCGGAGGACGGCGCGGGCGACCTCAGGCAAGGGTTAGAAACGGCTATAGAGGTCACGCGCGGAGCGGTCAAGTCTGAGCTCCTCATGTTCGGGGACGACGAGCCGGCGCAGAGAAACGCCGCCGCCCACCCCGCCAGATCATCCTCCAAGGCCGGCGGCGCGGACCGACGCAGCGCTGCAGCTGCCGCTGTTGCTCCGACTGCACGCGGAGGGGGCCCGGCAGAGAGAAACGCCAGCAAGAGGCCCGCCGGAGCAGCCGACAAGAGCGGCAACAAGAAGAGAAAGAGGTCCGGGAACGGACGGCGGTGCAAGCACGAAGGCTGGTGAGTTGGTTCGGAACGTCTGTTTTCGGTGGGGGTCTCTCTCTTTGTCGACGGCAGGCCAGTAGGAAAGGATGTGATGCCCCAGCGGAGATGGGCTTTGTAAACGGGTTGGCCTCTTTAGGATGCCTCTTTGTGTTTGTCCTGGCGTGTGCAGCGTTTTTTCGTCTTAGCTCTCTTTGTTACTGGGACACACTTTGCCGGTGCATGAGTTCAAGGTTGGAGTTCGGTGAAACCCCTCCCAGGGCTTTGTTAACCTTAAAGCGTGTATGTGGTCGACCAGTCACTACCGAGTTGCCTGAATACTTAAATGCTACATAGATCGCCTACAAAAATAGCCTCGACAGATGAAGGAACTTATTTTGTGTCGTGGTAAACGGGCTTGGCCATGGTAACGGTACATGCACGCCTTAGCCGGCAGATGTGCAGAACCATCCTCCCGTGTTGACTACTAAAATGCTGTTGTTGCTGGCTTTGAGTCGGTTAGATACGTAGGTCGACCGAGGAATATTGCGAACATGACCAAGATCGCCCTGTGTCCTCTTTGATGTCGCTACAGCGTTCGCAATCGTTTGCAGGTTTCTACCACGCTAGTATCATAGAAGCCCCTTGTTGCCGTTGTGGCGTGAGCGCCGTATTATCCTGCACTCTACGCAACAACAAACTCCATTTTTCGAGTACTGATCCAACCGTTACAAGGCCGGCAATCTGTGGGGATGTGTAGTAGGCGAACCCCAAGGGTATCGAGTATTGAGTGCGTCGGACAGCAGTAGCAGCTGTAGTCATGTTGTGGCGGCGAGCTTTCCACGTTGCCTGACGCTTTTATCCCACCTCCCGCACCCACCCACGCCCGTGCCCCGTGCGTCATTTCCCGCCCTCTGTGGTGCACATATCCGCGTGCCGTCGCTTGCCGTCGCTCCAGTCTGCTGCACCCCCATTTCGGGCTGACTCGTCCGGAGTACTGCTCGAAGCACAAGCTTCCGGGCATGTTCAATGTGAAAGGGAGGAGGTGCATTCACCCCGAGTGGTGAGTGGCACGGCGGTTGTTGTTTGGCGCGGTACAGCAGTCAGTGTAGGCGAGAGCTTGCGAGGAAAGAAAAACGATGGTAGGTATGGTAGTAGTAGGAGGGAGATGCATGGCCGGCCACAGGAAAAATGCCCCACTAGAAGGCGCGATGCGGTGGAATCAAGATTGATCGGTAGACGTTTAGACCTCGCGAGAAAAGAAGCGCGTATGCGCACGTACGGTGCGGAGCGCGAGCGTGTCGGTTTAGCGGACAAGCGGATCTAGAGTCTCGGAGGGGATGTGTCATGTCACATTCCAGAGGCAAGCATTTTACGATGCCCCCCCCCCCCCCCCCCCCCCCCCCCCCCCCCCCC